CAGATAACAGTCAGCTGAAGTGGCCTGCAGTACTGCACCCTAACCACTGCGCCACCTCGGCTCATAACTGGGTCATAGGCACCCTTAGGTTACTGATGCACCGGAAAGTTACTTAGCCTAGGACTGGATAAGCCCAGACTGTACTCTTTCAGTGACTGATATTTCTCCCTGAACTGCAACTTCCTTCCCCTTTGAAAGGTCAAAGGACATGCCCCCCTGGTGGCTCAGTGATTAACGTATAGTATTGCAGGCAAAATCTGCCCACAGCTTAGAGCCATGATGGCAACCTATGGCACGCGTGCCATAAGTGGCACACAGAGCCATCTCTCCAGGAATACCAGCCATCACCCGTTGTTCTTTTGGGTTCCAGTGCTCATGTGCATGCCGGCCACCTGGTCTTCACATGCGCGGGAGCACTGGAAACTGGGAGAACAGCTCCCTGGCTTGTATGTGTGTGCTGGGAAGCTGAGTTTCCGGTTTCCGGCTTATGCGCCAGCCAGCTAGTCTTCACACTGGCAGCTGTGGTGGTACTGGAAACCAGAAGATCAGCTCCCTGGCGCACATGCATGTGCTGGGAAGCTGAGTTTCTGGATTCTGGTACGCATATGCGTGCTAGTGAGCTGGCCAGCACGCGCACCAGAAACTGGAAGACCAGCGCGCATGTGCATGCTGGAAATGCAGCTTCCTGGTGCGTGCATGCACGCCGAGGAACTGCTCTTCTGGTTTCTAGCGCTCCGGGGAGCTGCTCTTTCGGTTTCCGGTGCTCCCCCACGCATGCGCCTGGTTTGCCAACACTGGCCTTGATCCTGATGGGACTCAAGGTTGACTCAGCCTTCTATTCTTCCAAGGTCGGTACCAAGAGGCCCCAGATTGTTGGGGACAATATGCAAATAATGCTTACATTGTAAATCACCCAAAGAGTGCTGTAAAGCCCTCTGGGGAGGTATATAAACTTAAATGCTATTGGTATGGTGTTGCTATTTCTGCTGCGATCGTTCGATGCTCATTATCCAGGGGACACCACATTGTAGAGCCAGCTCGTGCTGTGAGAATTTGCTAAGGGATTTCAGGCTGATTAAAAAAGAACATTCTGAATGCATTATTTATGGGGATAGCAACGGATCAAAATCCTCCCCTCCTGGGTGCAACCGTGCAAGACACCTGGGGCAAGGGAAGAGCTTAGATTGGCTTAATTTTACTCTCAAATACAGGTACTCCTCCTCAACTTATGGCCACAGTGGACCCTGACTTTTCTGTTGTTGACATTGGTTAAGTGCATCTTCCCCAGCCGAGGTGGCGCAGTGGTTAGAGTGCAGTACTGCAGGCCACTTCAGCTGACTGTTAGCTGCAGTTCAGCGGTTCAAATCTCACCAACTCAGCCTTCCACCCTTCTGAGGTGGGTAAAATGAGGACCCAGACTGTGGGGGCAATATGCTGACTCTGTAAACCGCTTAAAGAGGGCTGAAAGCCCTATGAAGCGGTATATAAGTCTAACTGCTATTGCTACTGCTATTTTCTGACCTTTCCTGCCATTGTTATTAAGTGAATCACTGCAGTTGTTAAATCAGCAACCTGGTTGTTAAGAGAATCTGGCTCCCCCGTTGACTTTGTTTCTCAAAAGGTCACCAAAAGGGGATCATGTGAACTTGGGACCCAGCAATGGTCATAAAGTATGAATCAGTTCCCCAAGCGTCTGAATTTTGATTGCATGATCATGGGGATGCTGCAACGGTCATCACTATGAAAAATGGCCAGCCACGACTTTTTTTCAGTGTACCACGTTGTAACTTTGAACCGCCACTAAATGAACTGTTGTAAATGGACTCAACCTGTAGTTGAGTCTGGCCAAAACCAACTTGGTGTCACATTAGCCTTTGGCCACTAGAGGCCGCTGTTTCCCTGACTTATTAAGCAAAAGTAGGTTGTATCAGGCATCTCACAGAATCCAGCCCGCTTTGGCATAGGTGAGAGTGTGTGTTTCTGCCACCTGCGCAGCTGATCAAAGGGATCTGCAGCAACACTGTTTTAACATGCATCTTGATGAAACATTGGCTTATATCGGTGGTGGAGAAATTGCGGCTCTCCCAGGCTGCGGAGCTACAATGCGCAGCAACAACAGCCTGCTTGGCCCTGAGGGAATGAAGCCAGAAGTTCCAAATTGGAACCCGTCTTATGTGCATTGTGTCAAAATGCAGAGCCAAGGTCACGTTCCTTCAATGGCTGAGGCAGGAAAGGCCTATTTTCTCAGCTTTGGGAAGGATAAGGTCAGGGGTGGGTTTCAATTTTTTTTACTACCGGTTCTGTGGGCGTGGCTAGGCGGGGGGACATGTGACTGAGTGGGTGTGGACAACTTGATGTCACTCGTGCACTCAGTCACATGACCCCTCAAGCCACGCCCACCAAAACGGTGGTGAAAATTTTTGGGACTCCGATGGAAGGAAAGTGGGAGGGGGGGGGGAAGGAGGGGAAAAACTCCCCAAAAATAAACCACCGGGAGGATTTAGGGTGTAGAAAAGCCATAAGTTGCCTAGAAGGAATTGAAGCATTCAACTTTGCAGCCTGGAGGCCACACCTGTGTTTATAATCACGGTGGGTGAGTGAGGTGGGGGGGAGAGAAAGAACAACGGAAAGGGTGGGAGATAGGAAAAAATGCAAGTGGAGGTGCTGGATTGTGCAAACAGGGCGGGAGGGAGGAAAGTTCACCTGATCCTGGCTTGGGACAAGGAAGGGGGGAGGAGGAACCGGCTGCCACCCCCCGAAACACTCCACGTCGCGGCAGGGGCTGTGGGAAATCACAGAGCCCGAATGTCAAAACTCCCTACTTCACTGATAGACAAACGCTTCTCAAGCCGAACCAGTCCGAACCAGTAGGAACCCACCTCTGGAAAAGATACATATCAGGCGTGGGTTACAGCTGCTGCTACTGCCAGTTTGCTCAGGGACGCGATGTGGCACGCCCATGAACTTGGCACACACGTTTGATGCCCGCTACACACGCATGTGCAGTACTGAAAAAAATGCTTCTGCGCATGCAAAGAAGCAAAAAACAAGATGGCCTACCTACTCAGTCAAACCGGGCTGAACCAGTAGGAACCCACCTCTAGTATACATAATAATTTAGGTCACCACTGGAAACTGAAGAAATCTGAACACTGTGACCTCCTGGAATGAGCTTTGAACAGATCAATTATTTTCTGGCCCTGCGCTAACTTGCCACGCATATATGAATGGATCTAGTGTATCCTGCCTTGGATTGGCAATTTTTAAAAATCTGCAACAAACTTCTATTTAGACACCCAGAAGCACATCATAGACAAGTACAGACACGTACATATGCATTTAGAAATCTATCTAACACAGCATACATTTCCTTTGAAATAGGTACAGCTTTGAAGAGCATTTTCTCCTCTGAGCCAAAATGGGCAGGGCGATATTCAAAGAAGTGCAAATTTTGAAGAATGTGCTTGGTCCAATGTGTGTGTCAGTATGGGCAACCTGGATCAAAGCATGAAATTAGCCAAGATCAAATCCTGCTCTGCATTCTTATTGTCCCACTGGTGTTGTTAAGTCCTTTTTCTTTTTTTCTTTTTACTTCTCTTGATTGTGGTCCTTCATTTCCGAAGGAAAAAATAAATAAATCAAAGCCTGAACTTGGGACTGATCCTTCCTCCCAGAGCTGGTGGCTTGGAAGGGCCTTTGGTACTTATAATATTAGGGCATAAATAAAAAGAGCACGCACTGGGTAAACGAAACAAACAAACCAAAAACCAAAAAAAATACATATTTTCCAAAAGCAGTATGCCTCAGGGACTGTTTTATTAAATACTAGCCAATAACCCAGCATTGCCTGGGTATTTATTTATAGGGGGGAAATATCCAGACCAAACGTAATTTCTAATATTGGATATTTCCCCTTGCCAGAGGGAGCCCCCTTGTGGAACATTGTGAAGCCATTACCGTGGCAACTTGTACTGTAGAAGCCATTTTACAGCAGTACAGTAGAAGTCATTTGAAAGCACAACAGGCTGTATCTTAACAGAATACACACACCCCCCGAGGGGTTTTAGGGGTGTCTTACCCCCACAGTATTTGTTTCCAGAGAGTAAGTCATCTGTTTACCAAGTTTGGTTGAAATTGCTCGAGGCAGTCAAGAGTTATCTCTTTCCTTCTCTGTGGAAAATGAACTTCCCTCATGAAAGAAGAGTGAATTCAAGGGAGTTTCTAAAGGCCAGGCCTGTTGGGAACTGTGATTCAGTAACATCTGGAGAACTTCAACTTTCTTACTAGGCTTGCACTATCTCCTTTGAAGAAAGCACATGTCTGGTCAGGTTGGGCTCAAGACACGAAGCAATTTAGCCAGGCTTCCTTCTTCATTGGAAGTGGGTACAAGTGAGATGCTCCAAGGAGGCCTAGCTCACCCTACATGGATAGGATCATACTCACGTTCTTCAAGACCAGAGTGTGGTTTTTCCTGGGATTCCAGCTGGGCATGGGCTTGAGCCAAAGGGCAACTTTCAGGACTGTGGGTCGGTTCTACGTTGGCATGAGGGCAGCAGCTTGGACTGTGTGACTCCTGTACTTCAGCACTGTCTTCTTCCTCTTCATCTCTCTGCTGCTTGCAAAGATGGTGTTCAACCATCAGCTGGAGCTCTGAAAAATAGGGAAGGGCAGAATTCACAAAAACTCTGATCTCGGGATGACTTAATTCTTATGGAAATGTTTCCTTTTTCAAAGTCTCTGCTGAAAACAGCAAATTGTTCTCATGCATTAAGGAATGTATCTATTAGTTAATCTTATCCAGTTTAAGTGGATTGCAGTTTTAACAAGATAACAGAATTGGACGGGACCTTGAGGGTCTTCTAGTCCAATCCCCAGCTCGAACAGGAAACCCTACACTGTTTCAGACAAATGGTTATCCAATCACTTCTTTAAAACCTCCAGTGCTGGAAAACCCATTACTTCTGGAGGCAAACAATTCCACAATTGGTTAATTGTTCTCACCGTAGGGAAATTTCTTCTTAGTTCTAGATTGTGTCTCTCCTTGATTAGTTTCCATCCATTGCCTCTTGTTCTACTTTCAGACGCTTTGGAGAATTGGTTGACCCTCTCTTTCCTTAGATATTGGAATTTATGCACTTCAGCTTCATAAATGCCTTTGATGGCTAGAGAGTATGGGAAATTGGGCCATACTTATGGTAAACAGGTCCCCCAAGATAGCTACTCAACAATGATTTGGAAACCACTATAGGTGGAATGCATTATTAGGAGAGGATTATTTTATTGACACTCCCCCATTTACCCAAAAATGACCTCCTCAGGTAATAAGGCCAATCGGGCTTTTGAGCTCATGTACTAAGATAAGCCCTCCCTGAAAATATTGCAACACAGCAGCAGCCATGAAATGACCAAGCTTGCCACCTCCTGCACCTCAAAAATAATAAGACCTCCCCGAAAATAAGGCCAAGCGCTTATTTCGGAGATCAAAAGAAGATAAGACCCTGTCTTATTTTGAGGGAAACACAGTCTTTAGCAGTTAGCAATAGCAGTTAGACTTATATACAGCTTCATAGGGCTTTCAGCCCTCTCTAAGCTGTTTACAGAGTCAG